TTGAAGGAAGGTTTTCAAAAGTGCCCTTATGAGCATACACTTTACATCAAATTTGGAGATGGAGGTAAATTGATTATAGTATGCTTATATGTTGATGATTTAATTTATACTAGGAATGATTTTGGCATGTTGGAAAAGTTCAAGCAATCGATGAAGCTTGAATTTGAAATGACAGATCTGGGTTTGTTGCATTATTTTCTTGGTTTGGAAGTAGTACAGTCAGATTCTAGAATTTTTGTTTGTCAGAAAAAATATGTGCAGGAAGTTCTGGACAGATTTCAAATGAAGAACTGCAATTCTGTTGCTACACCAGTTGATAAAGGTGTAAAGCTCGTGAAAGATCCAGGAGGCAAATCTGTGGATAGCAAACTGTATAAGCAGATTGTTGGAAGTTTGATGTATCTGATAGCAACAAGACCAGATATAATGCATGGTGTAAGTCTGATTAGTAGATATATGGAGCATCCAAAGGAGTTGCACTTGCAGACTGCTAAAAGAATTCTCAGGTATTTATGTGAAACTGCAGATTTTGGACTATTCTACAAGAAGGGTGACCAGACAGATCTCGTAGGCTTTACTGACAGTGATTATGCTAGAGATTTGGATGATAGAAAAAGCACTTCTGGGTTTGTTTTTATGTTGGGATCTGGTGCAATTTCATGGTCTTCAAAGAAGCAGCCCATTGTGACTTTGTCCACAACAGAAGTAGAATATGTGGCAGCAACTTCTTGTGCTTGTCAAGCTATTTGGTTGAGAAGAATTATGGAAGAACTTGAGCTGAATCAACATGAGGCCACTTCAATTTATTGTGATAACAGTTCAACTATCAAGCTTTCTAAAAATCCAGTTTTGGATGGGAGAAGCAAGCATATACATGTGAGGTATCATTTCCTGCGCAACTTGGTAAAAGATGGAACAATTGAGTTGATTTATTGCAGAACAAAAGATCAAGTGGCTGATATATTCATAAAACCCCTCAAAGTAGCAGCTTTTTCAAAACTGAGAAAGTTACTTGGTGTTTGCAGCATGTCGAATTCAGTTTGAGGGAGGGTCTACAGATTCCAGATTCTAGATCTGCAGATATGGTGTTATCTAGATTTCTTTAAACTAAAGTCTGAAGACTTTCAGTTTAAGGGAGAGATTGTTGGAAATTAGATCCTATTATTTAGCCATTATCTCTATATTTTAGGAAGTTTAAGTTATTTATTTGTTTTAGGTTGTTATCATTTAAATTAGATTAGATAAGCTTGATTAGTTATCTTTTTAGATAATATTATCTTGTAAAGCCTATTTAAAGGCTGGATTATTTTCAGTTTAAGGATAGATTCAATTTTTCATTCCATCTTCTTCTTTTCGGGAATCCTTGATTTTTTAACACTCCCTTTAGGCTCAGCAACGTGTTTTGTGATCACACCTCTGTGAATTCTGCTTTGGAGAGGTCCACTTCGGACCTAAGGGCATAGGTTTCCTCCCTTCAAGCTTTGTCTTCCTTTATTGTTCAGTCTTTTAAAGAGTCTCCTAAGGGTAGAGCCTTTGCTCTTTGTAGTAGTTTGGGTTACTTCAATCTTGCTATCAAGCTCATCAAGATGTTGCTCCCTCACCACGAGCTGATTGTGTCTGACTGTTTTGCCAAGTTTGAGGATATGGATGTTGCTGCACTAATTCATGCTGATCCGGAATTGAAGAAAGTTTATGATTAAGGTCCATCGTATGTTCCTCTAGGCAAATCTCTTGTTGAAGTAAAGGAAAGATTGAGTAGCTTTTGGGACGTCGAGGATTCTGTTACAACTATTCACAGAAGGAGTAATTCTATTGATGCGGAGGTTCTCAAGGTACCCCTCTTTAGTTTTTCGGACTTCTTGTTAAACCTGCATAGAAGAACATTTATTTTTGGAAGAACATTTAGGTTGTGCTGTTTTAATGTTTCTCTATCTATTACAAATGCTTTTTGTTTTGTTATATTAGGGTCTTCTTTATATATATATATCTACATGCTTATGTTGCAGTGCATTGGTTGTGTTTTAAGAACATCTGCTTGATGAATAAATGCTTTGTTTCTAACTTAGGTTTTGGTCTTACCTGACATTGTGACCTTTCACTGAAACTATATCAAGATTTTTCTAGGAAATTGTGTGTTACTTCTTTATCCATACTATGAGCTTTTATAGTTTTTTGTGGTGAAGGTATCCTCATTTTTCAATGAGGACCCGTGTTTTAATAACTGGTTAGCATTTGCCATGTCCCTTGTTTGGGGCATAACTTTGTACTCCAGTCAGTTGCTATTGGTTTATGTTGTAAAAAATCTCTTATATTCTGAGATTTGCATTAACCTTTGTAGCCTCGCTTGCATAGCTTTTGCCGAGGTATTTATGTACACCCTAGCTTGCTTGTATCTTTTGCTTACGTAACTTTTGCCTGGGTATTATACATCGAAACTTGCTCGTAGCTTTCGTTTGCGTAGCTTTTGCTTAGGTATTTATGTATACCCAAACTTGCTTGCAACTTTTGTTTGCATAGCTTTTGCTTGGGCATTTATATACACCCTAGCTTGCTCGCAGCTTTCGCTTGCATAACTTTTGCCTGGGTATTTATGTACACCCAAACTTGCTTGCATCTTTTAGTTTGTGTAACTTTTTCTTGGGTATTTATGTACACCTAAAGTTGCTCACAACTTTTAGTTTGCTTAAGCTCAAGCATATTCTAGTTAATTTTTCTCAAAATTTTGAGTTAACTAACTTTATCCGGATTTTAGAGCTTTAAGAATAGCTCCATAGTTTCACACGTTTATATTTCACCATGTCTGGTGTTTAATGTTGTACTTATGATTTTGATGATTACAAAACACATTTGAATGACTAATTGGTTCATTTAAGTGTGTAGTTAAAATGTCAAAAGATTACAAAATAAGTAAACTTGGACTGCACTTAAAAATGGACCAAAAAGGCTTGAGTATGTGCAAAGAGCTGGCTCTTGAAAGCTGCAGTTGGCTCTGGTGAAATGGAAGTGTAGAGAGCCGGCTGTGGAAGTTGCAGTCGGCTCTACGGGTAAAGACTTAAAGGTCCATTTGGCGTGCGCAGAGAAAAGATGCAGAGTCGGCTTTAACTTTGCAGCTAGCTATAAGGGCGCATTTACTACACAACGGTCAAATTATTTGAAGAATAATTAATATTTTTTTAAAGTTGGAATACCAAAACCGACTCTAGGTTTTTTGCAGTCGGCTATGGAAAAAAACAGAATGTGCAGCAGACCCGCAAAGCTAGCTTTGCGTTTTAGAGCCAGCTCTACAGAGAAAACAGAATGTGCAGAATCCCGCAAAGCCGACTGCAGAAATGGTGAGCCGGCTGTATAGAGCCGGCTCTAGAAAGCTAAGCTGGCTCTCCTGACAATCCTGCAACTCAAGCTTTGCGTCCTACAGAGCTTAATGACTCCCAATGGCTAGGAATGGCTATTTTCAAGCAAGGGGCTATAAATATGGTTGGTAACAGATCTGATAAAGTTTAAAGAGCATTGTATTGAATATTTTTACTTACCAACTTGTGCTTTAATTTGAGATTTTGATCTTTGAGAGATCTTTATTTGTAATCTTCTTCTTGTTCTATTTGTGAGTAATCTTGGGGGCGTGACTATTCCTTCAAGAGTGATTTGTAGAGAGGATTGAGTGGCTCCTTTAAGCCACCCTTGTTGTTGTTAGTGGAGAGTGTGGAGGAAATCCTTGGTGAGTGAAGCCAAGGTAAAGGACTAGACTCCAAGTGGTTGGACCGAACCTTTATAAATCATTGAGCAATCTCTTCTTTTCTACTCTCTTTAATTTTGGTTTTGTGGTTACAAAAAGGGGAGAATTTTTGGAACTCCAATTCACCCCCCCTCTTGGAGTACATTGAGTCAACATTTAAAGCTTTGGATCGCTTAAAAGTGATGCTGCTTCATAGAAGTGAACAAAGATATTTATAGCCAAGATCTTATTCTTAAAGCTGTGTTCCACGTAGAAGTGGTTTTTAGCAATGCAAAATGAATCTTTGCTTTTAAGGTGCACAACATTTTAACTTCTTGGAACTAAGGTTCCATTGGGGTGATTGGGCTTTGAAAGCTTCGTTTCCCAAGTTTTCTTTGCAAAGGTATGGACCTTCTCAATTGACGGCATTACATAAGATTGATATTTCTTTATGTTGTGTGCAATTTGGTGCTCTTGCATTGGATTTTGCTTTGTGATTTTTTGTCTCATAATTCTTGTTAGACCTATGCATCCTATAATTAAATTCCTATGCTTAGAGCTCTTTGGCCTATGTGGCCTTCTCCAACAAGTTTCCCCAGAAAAATGTTAGTTTTCTCAAAAACACAGTAACTTGTATGATTATTAAGATTGAAATTTAGAAAATTAAAAAGTAAATATACTTAGCTTAGATCGCAGCTTTCTGTTTTGAGTGTGCATAGCTTTGATCACCATAATTACTACTTCCTAGCATTGAATCTTGTGTTTCCCAAAAAAGCTATGAGTCCACCTAGTTGAAGGTGGTGTAATCCTCCGTGACTCCTCTTGTTTCTGGTGCACTTGTTTTAAACCATATCTTGCTTAAGCCTTTCACTGAAATTCATCCAAGAGGAAGAAAAGCCACTTGTTTCTCCATTGTTTCCAAATCTTGGAGCATCCATGTATGGCAATAGCGAATTTTTGTTGGCAAGATTCATCATGTGGTCTTTGTAGATAAAAAAGAACTCAACCCCACGATGGGCACCAAATGTTAACACTAAAAAATAGAAAAGATAGTGGAGAACCAAGAACTTTATTGATAGAGAGAGTTTACAATGGAGAGAGAATAAGATGAAAATTAATCCGTTTTCCTAGGTTTCTTTTGAGGTATTTATAGGATGTTTAAATACAATTATCCTAGGAATATAACTTTATTTGATTGGTGTTTGGGGTATTCTAATCTTAGTGGGATTTATCCTACCCAATCTTGATAAGACTATCTCTAGAATGCCTCCATGTGTCCTAATTCTCATAGGACTTAATTTAAGGTGTAATAGTGCTAATTTATTTTAAGACTAAACTAAAAAGTATTTAGTAGTATTGGAATGCTTGACAAAAAAAAATCATAAATATTAGTTTTTTCAAAAGTTATTGGTGTGATCCATTTACCATCTTTTTGTAATATTAATTTAATATTAAATTAAATTTATTTTTATTTTATACCTCTAACTGTGCTTAATCTCTAATGTTTGTAATTATAAGTTCTTATTACTGAAATAAGAATTTTCTTCCGGAAATGTCATTTGACTTTGTTAAATTAATATGATTTTAACTATGTTAAAAAAAAAAAAACCTTATCAATGATTTAAATAATTCAGTAGTTATCTTCTTCCGCTGGAAGTAAAAAGTCCTGAGTTCGAGTCGCATGACATGCAGGTAGGATGGGATAAACTTGAATGACGTCAAAAACCCACCTTAACTCTTTAAATAATAGAGAAATTTTGTATTAAGTGATTTGGTGAGAATTTTGCTCTCAATTGAGTGGAAATATTATTTACCATCTCAAATGAGTGGTAAAGCACAAGGGAGGTGATACATACACTCTTAAAGTTACACACGCTGGTACATGTTGATAATTTTTGTTATTTATGCAATTAAAAGTAATGGTTTCCGTTACTTGTGTCGGTAAAACTAAAGGTTTTCGTTATATACTGACAGTTTCTGTTAGTGTGTAATGGAGTGTGTAATAAAACAAGGTGTATGTATTGATGTCCAAAGCAATCGATGTCCAAAGCACAACTCAAATCTGTCATAGTAGTTAAGTGCATTAATATATTTTTGAAAAGTGTATTATAACCTTTTGAATCAAAACTTAAGAAACCATCAGATTAATTATTTTATTAATAATAAATTAGAAAAGTGGGTACTAACATATATTATAAAAATATATGTAAAAATATACTTTAAAATTATGATCTTTTGGTAAAATATTAGTATAAAACAAAGATTAAAATATCTTTATTTTTAAAGGTTAATTAAAAATTATGAATGAGTTGTAATTAGTAAGCTCTTATGGAAATTATGTGCTAAAAAACATTCTATATGGTTTAGATGAGTTAACTTTATTTATCTGAAGGGTGCTAGTTTGTTGGGTGTTAATGAACCATCAAGTTGTTCTTGGTCTTAGAAGAAGCTTGTCAAACTCAAAAGAGATTTGATCCTTTATTGTCATACAACTTAGTAATGGTAGGCAAACATCATTGTTTTTTGATAAATGCCTTGGTAGTTGATGTCTTTTTGAAATTCTTGATAGAGTAGATGTAAGTAGCTAGGGAAGGAATATGAGAGTATGTGATTAGTGGCAGAAAGGACAATGATGTATTCCTATTAGTGTAAGCAAAAAATTGCCAGATGTAGTTTCATGAAGTCAAACCCACTCTTTGCGAGTAAAGGTGCAAATAAGGATTTCAACTTTGTACTTTTTTCTATTTAAAGATATTAACTTTGTCAGTTTCTAAATAAGGATGTCAACTTTCAATTTTTTTCTAAATAAGGATGTTAACTTTGTCAGTTTCTAAATAAGGATGTCAACT